CCCCGCAGCTAGCTAGCTAGCCAGCCAGCCAGCCAGCCAGCCAGCCAGCTAGCTAGCTAGCCAGCTAGCTAGCTAGCTAGCTACCTGGCGTTGAGGGTGGTGTAGATGCCGGCCTTGGCGACAGTGACAGTTTGCTGCTCCATGACTTCGTGGATGGCGACTCTGTCTTGGATTTGCATTTTGTCGAATTCGTCGATGCAAATAAGGGATTTATCGGCCAAGACCATGGCGCCTGCTTCGACGCGTTTTGCTGCTGCTGCTGCTGCTGCTGGTTCCGCTGCGTCTGCTGCTGCCACTGCAGCAGTCAGGCCCACGCCGCTGCTGCCGCGCCCCGTGCTGCTCACTGCCCCCGGCAGCAGCCGCAGCGCGAACCGCAGCAGCTGCGACTTTCCTGCTGCTGGGTCTCCCACCAGCAGCACGTGGATGTCGCCCCGCACTCTGTGCTGCTGCTGCTGCAGCAAACGGCCCCCCGCCAGCTGCAGCAGCAAACCCTGCTTCACCACGTCGTGCCCGCACACCGCAGGCGCAAACGAGTGACCCAGCACCTGCAGCAGCAGCAGCAGCAGCAGCAGCGAGCCGCATGCAGCGGGGAGCGAGGCTGCAGCAGCAGCAGGTGCCGCGGCAGCAGCAGCAAGCAGGGCGGCAACACTGGCAGCAACAGCACGAGGAGAGCAGCGCCAGCGGCAAATTGAGCTGCAGCAGCAAACGAACTCCCAGCAAGCCCGGCAGAAACAGCAGCAGCACAATGTGCAGCAGCAGCAGCAGAAATAAGTGCAGCAGGAACCACCAAGATACGGAGCACAAAAGCACTCGCAGCAGTAGTTCCAGTGCGAGGAAAACCGAGCCGAGCACAAGCAGCAGCAGCAGCAGCAGCAGCAGCAGCAGCAGCAGTGGGCACACCTGCAGCAAATCGGGTCTGCTGGCGAAGGCCTTGATGTTCAGCAAATCCCCAGGCACCGACTGCAGCATGGAGGCCCTTTCTGCTGCACTCAGCACCTAAAGCAACAGCAGCAGCAGCAAAAAGCACCCGCAGCAGCGACTCTGCCTCTCCAGCAGCAGCAGCAGCAACCGCAGCAGCAACAGCCTGCTGGACCGCCCCACAGCAGAACCATCAGCAGCACCCCCGCTGCAGACCCCTCTCCCTCAGCATTT